CGCTGTTGAAACTGATCAGTTTCAGCAGCGGCTGAATCTGGACGCCAGTTCCGACTTACATACAGGTTCAACTTAAGAACAGTCCCTATCTTGTACGTAACCCGGGGACTGCCTGTAATTAATATTTTCCTCCAGGAGCAAAAATGTCTAGTTACAGCGTTGTCCAACCCCACTGCATATAACAGTCAGGGAAATCTGCGTATTTCCTGTTGGTAAACAGAAGAGCATGTTTATTCCTCTTTAGGTTGCAACTCAAGTATTAACTTCAAACAGGATGAAGACGTGCAAGCTTTTAAATTTCTCTATTTGAATACAGCCACTCTCTGAGTTAGACTAGTTGCAGACCAACACTTGGTCTGTAACTCGAACTGTTCGTAATTCGGACCCATTTCATTACACGCGACTGCACTGTTCGTAAGCGTGGGTCATGTTCGTAACTCGGGGACCGCCTTTACGACCGCTTCATGGGAGCTTTGGTCGTAAGTGCGAACGGTCATAACTCGACCGTTCACAACTCGGAGAGTGGCTGTATTTAAAACCCTTCATAAATTGTTCTAGCTTTGCTTACTCTATCCGCTTTAATCCTCCTTTGTTTTAATAGGCTGCTGCTGCTGTTCCTTTCCTTCCTCATCTTCTGGTATCTCCTTTATTTCCCCTCTTTTTGCAAGCTCATTATCTATACCTAGCTCTTGGATCCTACTGCTGTGCTGCAATTGAATCTCTGCCCTTCTACATAAGCTGACTTCAGTGTTTACAAGGCTAATAAACCAATTAACAGAAGATATTGCAGTGATCCAAATAGCCAGTCCCTTGTCAAGTGTTTTTGCAATGCTTGTTTTCCCTCTGGAGATTCTTTGGTCAAATCAACTCCTTTTCTTCTGGGATAAATAAAATCTAAAGTACGTTTTCCTTCAGTGAGTCACAGTGCTGTGTAGAAGGTCTTCTTCTCTTACACCAGGATTCAAACTATACTTGGCATCTCTAAGACATTCCTGTTGATAAGCAGGGTTTTCCTAGTTGCCATTACCTCAACTCACAGTTCCCCTGTTCCAGATTCCCATTGCCATGTTCTGTTTTCACTTCTCTCCAAGGATACCGTCTCCTTGGCCTCTTCCAGCAGTCATCAGCCAAGCTAATTCCAGACAGTATTCCTGGCTCCTCTGTGATGTGCCACCACCAGTTTCTCTCTAGATTAGTGGCTGCTCTCTTTTCCAGCCTCACCTCTCTTCAACAGAACCCATTATAGGCACCTGACCCAGCTGTTTCAGAAGGAAGCCACATCTGCCCCAGCCAGTGTTCTTCCTTCAATGTCCTGTAGTGTAGACCGTGCCTAAAGCCAAGTTAAGCTACTTTGACTTCAGCTATGTAATTAACATAACTGAAGTTGCACATCTTTATTCGACTTTAGCCCTCAGAGTAGACGTACCCTAAGTGTTCTAAATCATGCTTTGACCTTTTCATTTGGTTCTTTGTAACTTTAAAAAAAAAAGCCAGTACCATCATTGATATCACAAATATTGAGATGGGCCTAATTATGTTAGCTGTGAACTTTTCAGATTCTATTTATTGCATATTTGTTTTCCCACAAAACAGGCTTGCTTCACTGTTGCATATTCACTCCTATGACCAGCCAGGGGCTGTTGTGTTGACACTCTGTTTCCTCAGGTGGGACTGCATGTGTGCTAACCGGCCAGCCTTTTGACACAGCTAAGGTGAAGATGCAGACGTTTCCCAGCCTGTATAGAGGACTCATAGAGTGTATTGTGAAGACCTATAAACAAGTTGGATTGCGAGGATTCTATAAAGGGACCACCCCAGCACTTGTAGCCAACATAGCAGAAAACTCAGTCCTGTTCATGTGCTATGGGTTTTGCCAGCAGATTGTGAGGGCACTTGTTGGATTAGACAAGAAAGCAAAACTGAGGTTGGTAACAAATTGTGATCTCCAGAATATTGTACAACTAGCTGTCAAGCAAATACTGATGCAGTGTTTTTTAAAATGAAATGCAATCTCTTTACCATTATGCCATTCTCGTCACTGCACCAGTGCTAACAAGGAGTATAGCCATGGGTGGGCTGAGGCCCACCTGCTTAGTATCCTGGCACATCTGCCAGCCTTGGCTCTGCTTCAGGCCCTGCATTTTCCCTATGCCCCAAAAGGGACTCTGAGCCCCCCCTTTTTTTTTTTTTAAAGCTGCCTACAATTGGTTGGGACCTGTGGGTATGGCCATGTTGACTCTGAGGCTAATCCTCCACTGGAAGGAGGGTGGTTGAGTTATTGGGTGGCCTGGTGGCAGTGGAAGAGATTCTCAAAAGAGGTAGGCCTGCTGCCTCAGAGGCAGACCCAGTATGGTGCTGGGAGCTGAGTGCACTGGAGAGCTTCATCTTCTTCTGGAGCTGTTTGCCTCTGGGGGTGGGGGGGAGCCCTGGCCAGAGCATCCATCATCTCCAGCAAGCCTGAGTGGAAGGGAGGTGGCCCCCTCAATCCTTCCTGACCATCCAAAGTCAGGGCCCACTCAGATGTCCCATCCTGGCCATGCAACAGGTGCTAACTTTGTTACACAAGACTGTCTCACCAGTTATGGTATATTTTATAAGAACAGATTGCTGGTTGGTATAGGGTAGTGCCCATTACCCAAAAAAGACTGTGTAATATGCATTGGTTCTTCAGACAGTATGATATATGAGGGTTAGGGGGAGAATTCTGTATGTTTTCTTAAAAAAAAAATCTCCAGGTGTAATACTTGTGCAAAAAGAGAGGGGCTGAAACTACTGGAGTATTGCATGTTATAACTCCTGCATCATCTTCATCCATGCATGGACCACAATGATGGCCAGTGTGGTTTGTGAGGTGGCTTAATACTGTCTCAACTATCCTTCCCTCCAGAGCAATAACGATGCTGAATAGCACTCACTTATTCATTACTAGCAGACTTACTCAGTGTTGGCTGGGTCCTTCAGGGCAAGGGACTGGGTGGTGTGGGGGGTGCAGGACTCGGGGCAAGGCTTTGGGGATGGGGGGAGGGGAGTGCAGGATGCTAGGGGCTCTGTGTGCGTGAGGGTTGGGGAGTGAGAAGGGGCTCAGGGCAGGGGGCCCCATCTGGCACAGGCCTCTTCCTCCTCCCCCCACCAGCACTGTGGTCGAGGGGAGAAGGGTGTAGGGTAGAGGGACTGCTTGGTGTGCTGGCAGCTGGACACTCCCTTGGTGGTACAGCTGCCTCCAGTGGACACTCCACAGAACAGCTCTTTGCTGTGGGGTCACTGCCCCCAGTGACCACCATTCTTCTATCATGTCCCTCTGAAGGACAGGAAAATTGTCCTTTTTCCTGGGTCTTTTCGTTGTTTTGACACAACCAAACCCTGACCTTGCTTTAAGTTAGGAGGAGCAGAAGCTGCATATCAAACTTGGTGGCCTTAGCTCTTACTCCTGAGGTGGAGTTCTTGAACAAACGGACTCATAGACAGAGGCACTCTAAAATATATTGAGAATTCAGTGTTCTGGCTTCACTGATTAACCATTTTTAAAAAGGGATGCTGAGGAAAAGCTCTTGGTTGTGATTCTGAATACTATGTCTCTCTTTTAATACTTGTAAACTATCAAAAGTAAAACCTGAAAAATCAGTGTAAATGGTATCTTTCTCTCCGGTCAGGATTTAGGAAGTAAACAGACACTTGTGGATTCAACTTTTAAGGAAGGATATGAGAACATACTTAGATTGAGGCAGTTAACATTTGTCCTTATCAGCAGCACTCCATCTGGTAATTATAACTAACTACAGAAGAAGGTGGAGGGAACTTACACTACATCATTAAGGACTAAAAAAGGAGTATTTTAGAAGTAATTACAAAGGATAAAGATTAGACGATTTACACATCACAAGATCATAGTTGTCTCTTGGTGATAGTCAGCATCTGTCTAGTATATCACTAGTCAAATGGATTTTGAAATCACTAAGGAGAACATACTAATATCACTAGTCAAATGGATTTTGAAATCACTAAGGAGAACATGCTAATAATGAGGAAATTATGGGTTAATTGAAGAGTAGAAGAATATGTAATACTTGAGCCCTCAACATTTTAAGTGCATTATCAATCAGCTCTTATTCCATAGCGTGTTGTACTAAATACAGAATGGCACTCTACTGGTTGTGGTTGTGATTGATTGATTGATTTTTTTTTTTTTTTTTAAAGGGGTAAAGAGTGAGATGACCTAAGATTGAGTGTCTGGAAGGCAATGGGACATTCAGTGCAGAGTCCTTAGTACTGGAATTCACTATTTAATTAGTTCACCAGAATCTGAGTCTATTGACTTCTGTTCACTGTGGGCCAGATTAGCGGGACCATTTATGTGGTATTTGTTGCTCAAAGATTCTGAGGGATGACAGTGAAAGTGATTAGAGGGGGAGTGATTTGGATATATTCGGCAAGTACAGGCAGTCCCCGGGTTCCGTACAAGATAGGGACTGTAGGTTTGTTCTTAAGTTGAATCTGTATGTAAGTCGGAACTGGCGTCCAGATTCAGCCACTGCTGAAACTGACCGCCAGTTCTGA